ATGGGACCAGAAAAGGTATGTAACAGAAAAACTGATAAATAATATGTGGTATATATTCACAATGGAGTTTTACTCAGCCATAAAGAAGAATAAAATTGTGGCATTTGCTAGTTAAGTGGATGTAACTGGAGATATCATGCTAAGTGAAATAAGCCAGACTCAGAAAGTCAAAGGCCAAATATTTTCTCTCATGTGTGGAAGCTAGAAGGAAATATGGAAAGCAAATGAGGGTAGAAGATCTTGAAAATAGAAAGCAGATCAGTGAAGTGAGGTAGGGGATTGAGAGGGAGGGAGGAGAGACGGGAAAAGAAAGAAAGAGTGGAATAAAATTGACAAAACCATACCATGAACATATCTTTATGTATATTTGTAAACCACCAACTTAAAAACATCAATAAAAGAGTACCAAAGTGAGGAAGGGGAGCAGGTTAAGGGAAAAAGGATGGAAGGTAGAAGTATACGTAGATTGAAATGGAACAAATGTATGACTATAATGCACTAATAAAAACATTTTTCAAATTCCCTTTAATCTCATCCAAAAACCCCAACAACTACCATTCCACAATGAAACATGAGAAATTAAAGTTATCAACAAGAAAATAATGTAACCAAAGGGGTGGGATTTACAGGTCTAGGTGCTAGCTTCTATTGCTTTTTCCAAACTATCCATCAAATGGCCATCAAAGATCCTGAGGTTAGATGTCCCTGTTCCACAGGCTGTAGATGAAGGGGTTCAGCATGGGGGTGACAAGTGGGTACATCACCGAGGCCACTGAAGATTTTGTAGAAGAATGTGACACAGCTGAACCAAGGTACACTCCAAAGCCTGTTCCATAAAATGAACAAACAACTGATAGGTGAGACCCACAGGTAGAGAAGGCTTTATATTTCCCACCTGAGGATGGGATTCTCAGAATAGTGGAAACTATGTTTTAGTAAGAGAAAAGGATTCCTGAGATGGGAAAAACACCAAATAGAGCACCAACAAAAGACATTACTATGATATTGATGAAGGTGCCAGAACAGGAAAGACTGAGGACCTGAGAAGGGTCACAGAAAAAATTAGCAATTTTGACATCCTTGAAGGTAGTAAACTGTAATGCAATCAAATTGTGCAGCTGGGATTCCAAAAGGCTAACCAAAAAAGACACCAAAACAAAAAAGCCACAAAGTTGAGGGTTCATATGGTTGAATAATGCAGGAGGTGACAGATGGCCACAAAACGGTCATAGGCCATCACAGTCAGAAGCAGATCATCCATGCATCCAAAAATGAGATAAAGAGACATCTGTGTCAGGCATCCCACATAGGAGATGGTTCTACTGTGAGTCTGGAGGTTTACAATCATCTTCGGAACAGTG